TCAAGTTTTTTTCAGTGCATGCAGGGAAGCTCAGATACAGACCATCCAGTATATCTACTGTGTACTCTCTTTTTCATTTCTATCTTCTTGCCTTTCTTTACATTGAACCATATAACATTGGGAAGTTTAGGTTTCTTATCAGGCCAAAAGTCAGTCATACAAGAATTTGTAGCAGAGTTACCAACGTCCCCCGCCTCGGGGAAGTTTTATATGAAGCATAAAATTGTGCTATTTCAAAAGATTTAGTTATGGATTTCAGGACTTTCAGTCCAAAATTATGATCAATGCTAGATCTGCAAATGCAACAATAAATTTATTAAAGAAATGCTAGTAAAATGAAACACGGAATTTAAAATTCTATCATGTTAACCTTTGACCTCTAAGTGTGACATTGACTTTGGAGGTAGGGGTGCAGGTGTTGTGCACGACATATCGTCTTATTAATATTACTATTTGTGCCAAGTATTTTTAAAATCCTTTGAACTATGTAGAAGTTATAGATCGGACACAAAATATACCCTATAACACACTATGTCAATCTTTGACCTCTAAGTGTGACCTTGGAGGTAGGGACCCATCTTTTGCGCCTGACATATCATCTTATTATTGTGATTATTTGTGCAAAGTATTTTTAAAATCCCAGGTTATGGATTGGACACAAAGTATACCCTATAACAGACTATGTAAATCTTTGACCTCTACGTGTGACCTTTACCTATGAGGTAGGGACACATGTGTTACGCATGACATATCATCTTATCATTGTGATTATTTGTGCCAAGTATTTTCAAAATCCCTTGATCTATGAAGAAGTTATAGACAGGACACAAAATAAACCATATAACAGACTCTGTTAATCTTTGACCTCTAAGTGTGACCTTGACCTTGGAGGTAGGGGTGCAGGTGTTGTACCCGACATATTGTCTTATTATTGTGACTATTTGTGCCTAGTTATTTCAAAATCCTGAAGAAGTACAAAATATACCCTAAAACAGACTATATTAACTTTTGACCTCTAAGTGTGACCTTGAACCTGGAGGTAGGGATGCAGGTGTTGTGCATGACACATTGTCTTATCATAGTGACTATTTGTGGCAAGTATTTACAAAATCCTTTCAACAATAAAAAAGATATGGACCGGACACAAAATATACCCTGTAATAGACTATGTTAATCTTTGACTTGACCTTGAAGGTAGGTGACCGGTTTTGCGCATGACACATCGTCTCATTATTGTGAACAATTGTGGCAAGTATTTAAAAAAATCCCTTCAAAGATAAGAAAGTTATGGACCGGACACAACATATACCATCAAATAGACAATGTTGACCTTGAATGAGCAAGTGCGACATTGACCGTGGAGGTAGGGGTCTGGTTGTTGCGCATGACACATCGTCTTATTATAACAAACATTTGTGCCAAGTTATTTCAGATTCCTTTGATAAATGAAAAAGTTATGGACCTGACACAAAATATACCCTGTAATAGACTATGTTAATCTTTGACCTCCAAGTGTGACCTTGACCTTAGAGATAAGGGTCCAGTTGTTGCGCATGACACATTGTCTCATTATTGTAAATATTTGTGGCAAGTATTTACAAAATCCTTCTATCTATAAAAAAGTTATGGACCGCACACGAAATATACCCTGTAATAGACTATGTTAATCTTTGACCTCCACGTGTGACCTTGACCTTGCAGGTAGGTGACCGGTTGTTGCGCATGACACATCATCTCATTATTGTTACTATTTGTGGCAAGTATTTACAAAATCCTTCGATCTATAAAAAAGTTATGGAACGGACACGAAATATACCCTGTAATAGACTATGTTAATCTTTGACCTCCAAGTGGGACCTTGACCTTGGAGGTAGGTGACCGGTTGTTGCGCATGACACATAGTCTCATTATTGTTAACAATTGTGGCAAGTATTTACAAAATCCCTTCAAAGATAAGAAAGTTATGGACCGGACACGACATATATCATTCAAATAAACAATGTTGACCTTGAATGAGCAAGTGCGACCTTGCCCCTGGAGGTAGGGGTCTGGTTGTTGCGCATGACACATCATCTTATTATAACAAACATTTGGCCAAGTTATTTCAGATTCCTTTGATAAATGAAAAAGTTATGGACTGGTCACAAAATATACCCTGTAATAGACCATGTTAATCTTTGACCTCCAAGTGTGACCTTGACCTTGGAGGTAGGTGACCGGTTGTTGCGCATGACACATCGTCTCATTATTGTGAACAATTGTGGCAAGTATTTACAAAATCCCTTCAAATATAAGAAAGTTATGGACCGGACACGACATTTATCATCAAATAGACAATGTTGACCTTGAATGAGCAAGTGCGACCTTGACCTTGGAGTTAAGGGTCTGATTGTTGCGCATGACACATCGTCTTATCATGACAAACATTTGTGCCAAGGTTTTCCAGATTCCTTTGACAAATGACAAAGTTATAGACCGGACAAGAAAGTGTGACGGGCTGAAGGACGGAAGTCCGGCCGAAATGGAATAAGGGGCCATTTCTTTTGTTATTTTCTATTGTTTAATAGAGGGCCAATGGCCCCTTACTCTATTGTTACGGAATGAACTCTATTGTTCTCTTTTGTTCTGTTTACAGTTAGATGGCCCCCTATCCCTATTCGGTAGTGTTGACAGACGGACGGACGGATGGAGCCTATTACTATATCCCCCTTTTTTCTTCGAAAAGGCAGGGGACAATAAATATATTTGTTAGAAAACAAAGTTTCAGTTTTGCGAAAATATATCACAAGACAAGAGAGTTTTGATTCAATGCTTTTTATTGTCATATTTATCTGTACAATAGTAACTGACGACATGTAACGTAATACAAACTATCTCAAACCAAAATACTGGCAAACACATTATATTTCTTTATCATGAAAACTAAAAAACTTAAAAACAAACTTATCAAAGTTTCATTCACATAAACATTTGATTAAAACAGAAGTAAAAAATACCATAAATGGACACTTGAATCCATTAAAACAATTCTTTTGCTGCATTAAAATTACTTCCCCATGATTGCAAAACTAAATATTGACTTATCGACATATATATTTCTGATATATATATAAACTATAATACGTTGAGTAACATATACCAACAACTCTATGGAAGATACCAACATGTAATGTTTTTGATTTTCTTTATAATGCAGACTAGATCCTACACAACTAAATATCTACACATCAAATGTCTCGTTTCAAAAAAAAAAGGAACAGCAAAATTAAGAAAGTAACTTTTCAGTAACGGTTTATACTGTTGGCTTCCAGTCCAGCTAAGATCGATGATTACTTTTTATACATTTCACAACACCAAATGAACCTTTTTTTTTGATTTTCTAAAATGTTTTGTATTTTCATGGAATTCAATGAACATTTAACCCTTATCTTGCTGAAGCCGGAAGTGATAAGTCTTAGTTACCAGTATAGTGTCAAGCCATCTTGCACATGCGCACAGTCTGACAAGAATTATTCTGCTAGGTGACTAATTTTCATCTTTATTATCCTAACATGGATATTTATGTACAAATCCGAAAAGAAATGTTGACCAATTAATGTAAGAATTCAACAAATTAAGGGTTAAACTTTCCTCGTTTTACTTTGGATGCTAACCAAATCGTGAAATGTCAATGTTCAAATTTGATGTGGTTTAATCGATCTTCAAAACTGATTACTTTAATAATAATAACATTGTGGCAATAAAAGTTTGCCCTGAAAAAAAAGTTTTAAACATGCATATGAATTAACACGGTAAAATTATTGCTTTACGGAATTATGTTAATATGAGTGGATAATGATGTAAACATATTTATCAAAAGATCACGTTTGTTGAATTTTTAACATAAATTACAATCCTGCATTTGAAACATTTTTTTTTTATATAAATTATGAAATTCTCTAACTGCACTTATTTCACTTTAACAGTCACTATAAATACCTTAAACTTTAAGGTAGGTTTCTTGTTTAAGCTTGTACCATCTATAAAAGAAGTTTTAATCATACTTTCCAAGTAGGTCTACTAGGAATCGTATTACTTGCCATACTACTTTTATGTTATTTAGATAAAAGATTATCTTTAAGCTCTCCAGAGTGTTAAGCTCTTAAGATTATATATTTATATTCAAACAAACTTATAAAGCTTTTGAATTCATGTAACATTTTCCATAATCATGAACAACATAGGTTAACTTTATCTCTACCAAGTACAAAGTAATCTTGACTTCATATTGACTTTTATAGAAATAATGCAATATGCATTCAAACTAATTTTAGCATTATTTATTTTTTAAAAAAAACAACAAACATCACAAAAATGGTCTTGAACTTAAAAATTAAATTTGAAAATTCATATGAATGGACATACTTTTTTTAAAAATAATGTATGTTTTGGCTTTAATTTATGAAAAAAAAAACGTCTCCACTTATTCGACTGAAGTAACAATACGAAATTTTTTCCAAAAATAAAGCCCCAAAAACAATATTATAAAACCCTCTTTAAAAAATCACAAAAAAAATGTCCTTAGGCCCCGGAAACTAAAAAATTCTTTTCACGAAAAAAAAAAAAACAACAATAAATTGACATTCAATATTTCACACCCGATTTTTTTTATAACTTGATCATACTATGTACATTATTTAATGTAATTTATCACACAAAAAAAAATGGTAACAACAGAACTCAAAAAATACTTTTCAACAAAGAGTAACCTTCCTATACATGTAACAGATATTTTCTATAATGTCATTTTATTACTTTACATTTATTTGATCACAGTCATTGAATTGTGGACATGTAGATTAAAACATGTAACATATATAATGATATACATGTATCTCTATAAATAGTATGTTTTTCCTTCTAACATTCAACAGTTTACAAGTAACATAACTTTGTTTGGTGACTTTGAAAATTTGAAAACACGAGTGATAAAATAAATAAAAAAAAAACAAGAAAAAATAATTTATAGAGCCATTACGTGTTTGGTAACCAGGGAAACACAAAGTTGACATATATTCCTGAGATACTGTGTGTAGGAGACATCAGTGCGTAACCACGGAAACATGAATACATTACCACGGTCACAATATGAAACCATGGCAACAATATTTTGCACACTTAACAAATGGAACAACACTTGTTTATAATAACGTGACACTGATATGTTTCAGAACTCTTGTCATAGCAGTTATTCTTGAAATAAACATAAAAATCGAATAATTAAATTTTTCTGTCTCTCTTTTATCTCTCTCTTTTATCGTCTATTCAATGAAAACAACTCTTTTTAGCCAAAATGTCCTTATTTCTACCTTGTTCTCAAGAATAAATGTTATGAAAAAGTTTTTTGATATTTTTTTTAAAGAAATTCTAGAATGTGTCTACCATTCTTTCTCTCAATTTGAGAAAAAATAGCATTCCAACTCAAATTAAACATCCTGTTTTGATTCACCTTATAGGTATCCTTTTACACAGCTACCAGTATTCACTGGTTGTTATATAGATGGATGCTAAGTATCGAATGTTAAATAAAAGTCGTTTTTGTTGAATCATTCTTATATCCCATGCCACAAGGGTAGTTGCATGAAACACTTTTAGCATTGAAACAATAGGAATTTCAATTACTTGATGATAAAATTTTAGTTCTAATTTTACAAATATTACGGTGGGGGGATTCAGTGCGCCAAATAAAACAAAACTGTTAAACTGCATACCGCACCACACACAACCAAGTCCATGTTAGTTTAAATATACCATATCCTTATATAATGAAATATAACTCTGTATATACAAAAATTACCCTATCACTTCTACATACACAAGTAACAATATCAACTTTTCCCTTTTCTTCAAGAAACTACTTTCAGTTAAAGTCTTTGTTTCACCTTAAAATGAAAACAGTGATCTATTTAAAAAAATAGAAAAGTTAATATGTTACTTTTAAAATAATACAAAAAAAATGAACAAAAATTGTCAAAATAAAAAGATAATATGAAATAACTGCTACAATATGAGCATTTCTACTGTAAAACACATTTTAAAGAAAACTAAGGCAAGAATTCATCATATGGCAACTGTTATGGAATTCAGATCATTTCTTGAACTTTTAATAAAAGAGGTTAATGTGTAATATCATTCTTTTCTGTAACTCTGAAATAAAGCAATTATAATACAATCAGCTTTTAATTAAGTTCTAATTATTTCCAATTATGTAATTGAATAATTCAGCTTTCCCCGGCTCTGAATTTTCTTAATATGTTATCAAAAAATGTTTGTTTTTTTTCAAAATCAAAAATAAAACTCTCAGAGATGAAATTCAAGTGATCTTCACAGATATACAGTTCATGAAATTGAAGTATGAAATTGAAGTAACATTATATTTTGAAAATCATGTACTCTGCATGAAGTTGAATATGAATATCATTTCCTGAACTTTAAGCTATTGTTAATTTAAAACTTACCAGATCTTAATATAGACTAAGCAATTCCTTCTGCATCTACAAACCCTAGCAACTACCTAAGTATTACTACAATTCCCTTTCATATCAGTTATAAGTGAATACATCAAATACTTCTTCACAAAACAAGTATCTGTTTGCTGTCATGCTCTTGACTATAATCTATTTACCTACTGCTTAACATTTTAGCTCATAATATAAAAATTTTGGGTTTTTTTCCCCTTCACTATGTCTGATACATTGTAGCAAACTGTTTTTTGCTGTACCATATACCACAAGTTCAACAAATAAATATATACTTACCAAAAATAAAATGTAAGTTTTGAGTTATAAAAAGGGACAATTATTGAGAGTCATTTTTAATTTGAAGTTACACAGCTTACTCTGACACACTATAAAACAGTGTTTTAAGCACTTTTTGTAACCAAATTTAAATATATGTCTTTGGTAAAATATTCTAAAATAATTAAAACTAAAGCTAATTATCGGACGATACCTTTCGCTCTCTGTACAATGATTAAATGATCCTCACATAAAATCTGTGTAAACTAAACAAAAAAAAGAAAACAAAATTTTGTCTATGATAAATGAGATTGATTTTGTATCTATAATGTTTGTATAACAAAATGTATACATCTTATGTACATTAACTGTTTTACATACAACTTGACAAAAATCATAAGCTAGACAACACATTCATTACAACACCAGTAAAACTTGAATATTTTATTTCATACCTTTCTATACTCATTCTTTGCAACACACTGTCTTGCTTTAAAATTAAAAAACTTTCACTTTTTCTTTATGGAAATACAAAATTTCAGCAAGTGTTATTCTGGCCTGATTAAAGTATGTACAGATTTGCATAAATATTTATCTTTGGTAAAGACATATTATTAAGTTTGTAAATTAAGTAACTACATTCTACATGTATAATCAGCTTTTGTTCACACAAAAAAGGAGAGTTTTATATGGAGAAACATTTTTGAATAATTGAGATGTTCTAACCAGAAATTGACTTGTTGCTTTGCTATCATTCCAAAAATCAGTATACAGAATGAGTATATTATTCAAGTATTACTAGTCTAGATAGAATATGAACATTCTCTTTGAGTAAATGACATTAACAATACAAATAAAACTAACATTTTTTTCTACATTTTGATTTTAGTTTCTGTGTCTCTATACACCTGTATAATGAATACAATAACAATAATATAAACTTTCTTTTATTTAACCCTGTCACACAAATCTATATATTGTCACACACATACCACTAACAACTTCTTCCAGGTCAAAAAGAGGCCAGCATTAACAAATTTTATATATACTACATCCAGTTCTTTTTTCATCAAATCACCCTTACCATTTTATAATTTCAAAATATAAAATATCTTCCTTTTTTCATTTTAATACAATCAATTTTCAAAAAATCCTGTTAAGCAAGGACTTATTTCTTCTGAGTGGCAAAAAAAACAATTACTTTATTATTTAATGACCTTAAAATAATACAAAAGACTCACATTCTAAAGTTATGATTTGTAAATCTAACCTAATGATTGTCTCCAACAAGTAAAAGCCTGATCTTTAGAAAAATATACATTTTTTTAAACATTTACTTATAGTATCTATGCTGTATTTATAATAACACTTAACTCTAACAGATTAGAAAACATGTGTCCAATACTATTAACATCTTTGTTATCAAATTTAAGATTGACAAAAAAAATTAAATAATGTTAAAAAACACAATATCACAAATATTTGAATTTTGTTTAAATGAAATGATTTTCAGGCTTTTTTGTTTTGTTTCCTAGCAACAAAATATATTCTAGATCAAATTCTGTGATGATGAAAGTATATGATAATTTTGTGTCTTAATATGGATGACAAAATTTGTAGAAACATTTTTGTGCAATTAAATTGTAAACAATTAAACAAAAAACTGCCCAAATAAAGAAAAATTATAATTTAAAAAGTTGTATCTCAAAAGAAAAATCTTTGGTGATAAACAAATTGCAGATTAAATACCTATCCTACAGGGACTAAAGGTAAACAAATTTATCAGAAATAACCATGCAAAAAGGAAAAAAAACCTGCCATATAAAAAAGTAATGTCAAGTAATGTCATATAAAATTATGACAATTTTCAATTATTTCTTATATCTATTAATATCTTAGTTTGAAATTAAAACATGTTACATGCTTATTTAACAAGTCAATAAAATCTCAATAAAACAATACTTAAAAGCTTTAGTTTGATTTCGGCATAATACATCTCGCATTAACACAATGAAGTAATGGCAGTGCTCAATTCTTTATTGATTTTTATCGGACAAAACAATTAAAATCTTGTATATTTCTTAAGAACAAAAATGTAACAAAAAGCAAACTCTGTACAAAGAAAAACATTAAGGGGAAAAAAAATAACAAAGTAAAAGAGCACAAATTCCTTTTTGCTTCTACACAAGACTTGTGTAAAAAAATGATATTTATATACATAATACTCTAGTGAAAACCCAAATACAACATGACTAAATGATACAGTTAATATCTTAGACCTTGCACCATGGTTACCACAATTTGTTTACATAAAACACATTAATATAGTAACCAGAAAGATGAAGAAACAAGTAGAAGGAAAAAATGAGCTCCATTAAAATCCAGATTGTTTATAAATAGACACAAGTGCAGACTGACATGTATACACGAGATGCTCACAATGGCCGCCTTCTAGTGCTCGTGAGGCAACATGAAGAACGTTTATGCATGGACACACGCTGTCATGACGACTACAGGCACACAGGGACAGCGACATCACTTGAATGTTTCTGAACATAGAAAAGCAAGGAATAAAATGAGTTTTGATCACATAAACATTTTGTTACAAACAAAAATGGGGGTAAATGTCTGGCTTATAGAGATGCAAGAATTTGTATGTTAACATCCTTATTTATATCTGGTCTATTCCATTAAAATGAAAATAAATCATCTTTCCATTCATGAAACCTTCTTTTAAAACTAGCCAAGGGATAAAAGCACTACAGAAGACAAACAACCACTGTCATTTGTATCAAACAGCAGCAATGAATCCCCCAACCCCACAAGACTTGCATCTCCATAATTTATACTTCAGCATGTGAATCACCAAAAGAAAAAAATTGAAACAAAACAATGAATAATTATTACCAAATGCCGGTAATTTTTCACATAGACTAGAATTCTGATGGCTCTTCAGCATAAAAGTAAATTACAATTAAGTTTTTTTTTTTCATATTGTATCTATATCTAAGTAGATTCATTTGTTTACCAATGCATTCATTAAAATTAAAGAGATTTATCTTAAACTGAATTTACAATTCGAAATGTGACATGAATTGTGACATTTTATCATAATATTGAGCCGCGTTATGACAACACCAACATAGTGCATTTGCGACCAGCATGGATCCAGACCAGCCCACGCATCCTCTGATCAGGATCCATGCTGTTCGTTTACAAACCATATAATAAGTGGAGAAACTGATAGTGAACAGCATGGATCCTGATCAGACTGCTTGGATGGTCTGGATCCATGCTGGTCGCAAACACACTATGTTGATTTTGTCATGACGCAGCTCATATCATCACCAGAGTGAAACATTATTATAATTGCTTATACAAAAGCAAGAAGCGGATGAAATAGTCTGGTGCTTAGGTGACAGTATATAAAGTCACTTTGTGTAGCAATTTATCTTGATATGCCACTAAACTCCACAACATCTATATCACAATGTGTCACAACACAAGTCATAGTGGTATCACAACACAAGTCATAGTGCCTTTGCAGTGGTGAGACAAACCATCCATTATTTTTTCTTCTGCTTAATATTTGACTTATATTCTAATCTTGATAAACTTTATAAAGCTCAGTATTCCTTATGATAAAAAAAAAAAATCTTAAATTTTATCTTGACAAGAATATAATACTTGCATACAAGTATCTATCTGCAGAGTTTGAAATTGCATAGCAAACTTATCCACTTTCATTGGAGAGACAAGTTTGTCAGGTTTGTATAGGTAAGAATCAAATCAATGCGACATTATTAATAATAATGATGACAGTCAATATGTTAATATTAAGAAAATGCAACTATTTCAAATGGCAACAATAATTATGTTCATTTACTTTTAATATCATCCATGTTAATAATGGCTTATCAAAGTGTAAATGATGTTGATTATACATTTGTGTGGGAAAATGGTATTCAAGGAAAATGATGTTTACCCCCATCCCACTTCTGCGAACCTACCCTTCCATTCAAACTGAAACTGAATAGGTCCATATCATGTTATGCTGATATTCAATCTATACAGAAGGAAGATGGCCAAGCATTTTTTCAGGCATAAGAGTCACTAAGGGTATGACCACCAATCTTACATCAGCTAACTGCATCAATGGTGTTTTGGACTATAATGACATAACAGTAATGATGAATAAAGATTCTGATGATGATAATGACAATGATGTTTGTAGAAATGGTACAGATGACCCTTTAATTTCACATAAGCATAGTTCAGTGCTGACATTGATTCTGATAAAGAATGTGATGACATTGATTCTAATGAAGAATGTGTTGACATTGATTTGAATGAAGAATGTGTTAACATTAATTCTAATGAAGAATGTGTTGACATTGATTCGAATAAGGAATATGTTGACATTGACTCTGATGAAGAATGTATTGATTCTGATGAAAAATGTGTTGACATTGATTTGAATGAAGAATGTGTTGACATTTATTCAAATGTAGAATGTATTGACATTGATTTGAATGAAGAATGTGCTGACATTGATTCAAATGAAGAATGTGTTGACATAGATTCGAATAAAGAATGTGTTGACATTGATTAGAATGAAGAATGTGTAGACATTGATTTGAATGAAGAATGTGTTGACATTGATTTAAATAAAGAATGTGTTGACATTGATTCCAATGAAGAATGTGTTGACATTGACTCGAATGAAGAATGTGTTGACATTGATTCCAATGAAGAATGTGTTGACATTTATTCAAATGTAGAATGTGTTGTCATTGATTTGAATGAAGAATGTGTTGACATTGATTCCAATGAAGAATGTGTTGACATTGATAAGAATAAAGAATGTGTTGACATTGATTTGAATGAAGAATGTGTTGACATTGATTCAAATAAAGAATGCGTTGACATTGATTTGAATGAAGAATGTGCTGACATTGATTCGAATGAAGAATGTGTTGACATTGACTTGAATGAGAATGTGTTGACATTGATTCGAAAGAAGAATGTGCTGACATTGATTCGAATGAAGAATGTGTTGATATTGATTCGAATGAAGAATGTGTTGACATTGATTCGAATGAAGATTGTGTTGACATTGATTCGAATGAAGAATGTGTTGACATTGATTTCAATGAAGAATGTGTTGACATTGATTCCACAGAAGAATGTGTTGACAATGACACTAATGCAGAATGCTTTAATGCTAATGATGATCCAAACACTGAAGTACAGCCAGACATTTCAACAAATACATGCTGGTTGACATTGAACATGTGTCATGCAAACATTGCAATTCCCACTCTCCAAAAACAACAAATTTCAAATCCATTAACAATTTACTCCATAGCAAATATACAACCAATGACTAAACATAGTATTAATTAACTGTAAAGGCAGAAATGGTGTTATAATGTAAACTTGAGCAATTCTTAACAAACAACATTCAATATGATGAAAATTCACAACATTACCTGTAGATTATTCAATGTAAAACAAAATGAGTTCGTGACAAGTAACATGTATTAGTTGAAATGAAAAACACAAGTTCTGGCATCAAGTCGAAGGAACATAAGCTCAAGGTTGTCAGTATCAAGTCAGTGTCCATCAACTTATTGTCAGCATTTTGCAGAGGTTTTGCAGAGTGATTTTTTTGTCCACGATACAACATCTTTTTATTACCTGTATACAAAATTTACAATAAAGTGAACTCACCTGGTCTGGATAAAAATAAACAACAAATACAGTGCATTGTATACATACCTTATGAAATGTGTAATACAGAGATGGCTTCTAGTAGGGTTTACTGTCATTTTTCGGTCGTTTCAGCTGTACTTTGAGGCGTTTCATTCCTATCTGGAAACCGTTCATGGCCTGTATTGCTGCCTGGGCGGAAACCGGGTTGTCATAACTAACAAAACCTGAAATATTGCCATAAAACAATTAAGGGATTTGATTTTCATATTGTATTCATAGTAATAATAATAGTTATAACAAGTTGTTTTGTTTTTGTTTGGTTTTATAGCACACCAACACAGTTTTGGTCATATGGAGACAAGTTCAATGGATGTGCTTAGGTACAGTTTGTTGCTGTAGTGAAATATTAACAGACAGCTTCCCAAGTGTATTTCTTTGATATTGTACCAGTAAGAACCTTTTTCATATAAAAATAACTGCCTTTAATTCACATAGATCAATTGACGTAACTGTTAAGGGCTTCTGGCTCATTGGTTTTAATAACATTGTAGCGGAAAAACAAGAGAAACATCCTAGACTTAACAAATGGATCAAAAGATCTTGTTTCCAAACATTCTGGCTTTGATAACATATTCACTATATGATGGAAAACATAATGGACATTTCTAAACATTGTAAAAAGCATTTCAATAAGTTGATTACATTTTACAAATTTACTGTATTTTATGTATTGAATTGTGGAAATGCTAAAATTCTAAAAATAACTTAAATACATAACATTATAGATCAAAGTATAACCATATCTTGGCATATAATTTACATAGATGAACTTTATTGGTCAAAGTGTATACATAACCTAACATACCAACTACATAGATGAACTTTATAGGAAGAGTATACTTATGATACGTACCAAAACATTTACTAAGATTAGTCTGTTTATCAATGAAGACCTTTGCTGATATCACATTTCCAAATGGCATGAATGTCTGCATGAGGTCCTGATCACTAAACTCTTGTGGCAAATGGTAGATGAACAAATTAGCTCCCTCAGGACCTGTAAGAACAAGTCATATAAATCACTCACATTTATACTCAAATATAAATTGTTATCCATTTTTTTTAAGATCTGTACAATGACCTTGAGAGCTTTCAATTGTAGTTTCATGAAGTCTTTAAAATCAAAAAGCTCTAGGTCACCATCAATATGACTGTATACTGGTGTCACTAGTTTATTAATATTGCTCTTATTACCATAGTAACACATATGCTTACCTTCTGTTTGTTTTCCAGCAGGCGTATTCACTGCCTGTAATTGTTGGGCTGCTTGAGAGCTGAATGCATTTGGGAATGATGCTGAAATATCATAAAATAATTCCACATTTATATGAAATATATTACCACCAAATTCTTGTAAAAATATAATAATAATCATATAAAATGTTTAATATACAATTAGGCAGATGTGGCTATTGAAAATGTATATGGCCATTGTGGAGCCAACTTGTTTATTAAAGGTTTGGTTTGTTCTATTATCATTTTCTTAGAAGTCAAAATGCCAGTGACAAGAAGGTTATATGTAACATCCACACTATGTAACAAAAAAGTGTTTTGGTCCTAATTTAAGACAGAACTCAATATAATAATATGAACTCTCTTGATTGAAATTTACCTATATAAACAAATTAAAAATCAGCATCAAATTGTAAAGTTATGCATCAGTACTTTTTGGAGTGTGTATAAAACAAGAGCTGTCCGTAAGACAGCGCGCTCGACTTTTTTATTGCTTGCCAATAAAAAAAGTTTTTGCAGTAAAAGGCAATACAAGAATCTCTGTATTTTTAAAGTGAACAATGGCCATGAGCATTAAGATATTTAGTGAAGAATTATTTTACTGAATTGTGTGATACCCTTGAACACTGCAGGTTCAGTGGATAGGAATGAATTTTTTTAGATTTTTTAAGTTTTTTAGTGCTTGCCTATAATACAAAACATTAACAGTTAAGGGCCATAATTCAAATAAAATCTTTGACAGAATTACCTTCTCCTGGACATGTTTGGGAATCATGATTGTAAACAAGTATTCCAACTTTCAAATTAATATCTCAAACAGTTCAGTCAAAAAGTGGACTGGTACTAAAAACTTAACCAAGATTCTAAGTCGATAAAAGGCCTTAATTTTTAAAACAAATCCTTGACAGAGTTACCTTCTCTTGCGTACAGATGGGGGTAATGATGTGAAATAGCATTAAAAGTTTCAAAGCAATATCTCAAAGGGTTAAGGCAATAAGTGGATTTTACCCATATTCAATGTATTTTCTAAGTCAAAAAGGGGCATAATTCTGTCAAAAACCTTGACAGAGTTATGTCCTCTTGTCTGTTGATGAAGGTCGTGATGGTAAAACAAGTATGGTCAGTTTCAAAGCAATACCTCCAATGGTTTTGAAATAAAGTGAGGTGGTACAAAAAACTTAACCAAGCTCAATACACTTTCTAAGTCAAAAAAGGGCCATAATTCTGTCAAAAACCTTGACAGAGTTATGTACTCTTGTCTGTAGATGGAGGTTATGATGGTGAACAAGTATGGTAAGTTTCAAAGCCATACTTGTAATACTTCTGAAATAAAGTGGGGTGGTACGAAAAACTTAACCAAGGTGTGACGCCAACGCCGACGCCGACGCCGGGGCGAGTAGGATAGCTCCCCTTTTCATAGAAAAGTCGAGCTAAAAATTGTGGATCTGTCAAACACCACTAAAGATGATTTTACCAAAGAAACTTCTTCAATGTTCCATCCTTTTTTGTTAACTTAACATGGAAGTGAAAGGGACTAAATAACTTGCCATTTGTTTCAAAAGGCTCCAAAATAAACAAATTGACTAAATTTTCTCAGAAAATTCTACAAATTGAAATCAATTTGGATTGAAAGAGAGACCATACTGAACAGTTGGAAATCTGCTCAGAAATTAACAGCCTTATGAATATTCATGAGATATCTTCTCAGAAATTAACAAGCTCATGAATATTGATGACAATTTCCCATATCCCCCCAGCATAATGCTGTAACCAGCACTGCCACTACTGACCTTAACCTTCTTGTCTCACTAATTCTGGACAATATAACTAAGTTAAAAATCTTGGGATTTGCTACTTTGGCTCTAGACAGTGTTATAATCACATTAATTCAGCACTAAAGCACATTAATACATAGAGAAACACAAGAAAAACGACTACATCCTACTGGTTAAATCAGAGGCACAAGAGACCATAGGGAATATAGATATCTTGTTAAAGAGATTTTGATGATATATATGCATACTGACATTTACATTAATTAAAATATCTCTTCTCAGCTAAATGTAATGGTCATAATAGACTTTAAGGCATTATAAATATTCAAATTCCATATGAAAGACAGACTGACGTAAGTACAAGATGTACAATTATCCTTCTTAGTCTGAACATTAATGTAATGCTAGGTTTACAATAATCCCGGTCTCTAAAAAATATTTTTTTAAGAGAAGATTATATTGTAAGCTACTATGTTTATAATTCAAAATTTTAAATTACAATAAAATTACAATATCACAGGGAAACAAAACAAGAATATGTAAACGTAATACTTGAGAAAACAAGTTCTTATTAGTATATTGAAAATAGAATGTACTAAATAAACATAAATTTGAAATAAAATAAGTAATTTGTAACATGCATATTTTTTTCCTTTTTTCAGCCTTTTTTTTTTGGCCAGTAAAACCAGATTAATGCATAATTTGAACCAATTAATTTTTTCATGAGCAACAGTCAATTCAAAATGTAATTATCATCTAAAAAATCTAATTCACAGGTTTTACTGTCACATATATCTATTGTAAAGAATTTGTTAAAATTGTGACAATATTTAGACGTTACAACAGATGGTTTTTACTGCATGCTGTATAAAAAAGGAAAAGCTGTAAAGCCAGGTGTATGGCTCATTTCTGTTTATATACGGTGTGCTATAGGGATAACCTAACCCCCCTTATGTTTTCTTGTCAATATTTCAAAAGGAATAACATTTTGTAAAGGAAGTTATTTCTCCAGAGGTGAAAACATGAAAACAAGGAACAAGACAAAAGCTTTTTGGCAACATAATTTGTCTGATTTTGCTGCCCCAAAGTCATTATAAAACACATAAATTTGAATCAATGACACATAAACTGATGGTTTTGGAAAGTTAAAGGGGCATCATTAATTATCTAAATGGGCAAGATTAGCACAGAAGATTGTTTGTTCACAACAGAATGTCAAATCAAGTGTGCATTTTCTATATAAAAGAAGTGTGTAAAGCATTCTGTCTATATCAATGGATTAGAAAACAATGCCACAGAACAGAATACACTAATCATAAACACACTGAACATTCTGCAACATATACATGGAAGTTAAAAGGTTTAATACACTTTATGCCAGACCTGACTGCTATAAGTTAAAACTCCGAAATTTGATTATCACAAAAAATAATCTTGGTCCATAAAAAAAACCTTACAAGACAATCATGATAAACGACAACATGTTTTGACACATATTTTTACAAAATAAGACAGAATTTTTAATGTTTTCACTTTCCGTTCATAAATTCATTATAGGGGTAACAAATAGCAATATTTCCTATGCTGTGGAATTCTGTGCAGAAATGAGGGAAAGGTCTGAAGGAGTTCAACACGATACAAACTCAGAGCAGTCAGCAGGACATAAGCTGGGCGCACACTGCACTCAAACCAACACTAAGAGACAAATTTTCCCATCCACCCAACCGCACACCAGTAACACTAAACAATTGACGATTGTAGTGAAAAATGAGCCATTTACCTGTAGCGGGACTGAGCAAACCTGACAAACCTGCGTACTGCTGGATTCCGGTATAAGCTTGACTTAATGCGTCCATTCCGGATGTACCATTGGTGACGCCTGGGGACATGCTGGTGGCAGCCATATTGCCATTGCCTAGATTTTGTAAACCCGCAAAGCCGCTTAATGAACTGTTTGATGTTGATAAGGAACCAGAGAGTGAGGCTGAAATCATTGTTAAATCACAGCATAAAGCACTGACGGATATATCTACAAATATTCACTAACTCAAAACAGGAAAAGGCTGACATAGAAAGCAATGTTTTAAACATTTCAGCAACATATATCTTCTACTACACATTTAAAATGTGAAACATACACCAAAAAGTAGAAGAACACGTAACATAGATGTTTTACATAGTGTTAAATTTTATATATCAAACTCCTTAAACATTTCACAAACATATTTCTTATCTCTGCCTAACATATTTCTAAACAAACATAAGACATGTAACAGGGAATATATTATTAATTACACTTAACATAAAACATGAAATTTCTTAAGAAAAGTTTTCACAACACATGACACTGCAGCTACCTGATTGGTTTTGACTGTTTGAAGCCCCGCCTACTGGCATTTGGTTCATTCCGGTCTGCATTTGGTGATTTCCGTTCATCCCGCCCATATTTCTACCCATATTTCCCATATTGTTACCCATACCATTACTCATATTTCCAGACATGTTACCCATATTCCCAGACATATTGCCTTGAGCACTATTGCCCATATTTTGTTGCATATTCCCCATATTTCCGAACACGCTGCTAAAGTTGCCCATGTTCTGCATCAGGTTAGCCAGGGTTTGAGCCATGTTGTTTGCCGCTGCATTGTTTCCTCCTGACATATTATTGCCTGCTGGCATACTGTTTCCCGCCATGTTGTTTCCCTGGGGAAAGCCTCCTATAACACAATAGGCACATTCAACACAAACACAAAGCCTCCTCCACACATTTAACATCTACACCATTATAATCAGGCTCCCCAAAACTTGCTACCCTATCTTCTCATTTTCACATGAGATAAAGTATGTAAGTACTTTCTCTCCATTGCATGGTAATGAATTTAAAATCTTTTGAGTTTTGACCCAGGACAATTCTTTTTATAATTTATACATTTTCTTTACATTTGACAACAGGAACTGCTTTGTTTTGCTTAGAACAAATTAAAGAAAGCTGTGACATCAGACAAATCTTAACCAATCTTTTTTCATCAAACTTTTAGTATACATATAACAAGACAAAACGTTAATTCTGCAGAATACTAGCAGGGTTAAACGCTTAAAAATGGCACAGACAAAAATCACAGACAAATGACAAACAAAGCAAGTAATGGTTAATTGCTTCAACACTAGCCACAGACCTCTTAACATTCCTGCACAGGGATGGGGACTATAATATTCCAGTAATGTACCGATGAGACAAAATTATTCTTATTAACTAACAGGAAAAACACACAACAGAAAACATGGACAAATAAAACATGAATAGTTGGAAACAAACATAAAACATGTATCAAGACAAACATGTAACATATACATTTTATATAAATATAAAAATAAATCCCACTACTGGTTACATATGAAGTTACATTTTTTTTCTATAAGGATTATACACCCATGTGCACATTTTGTTTAAATCAGATCAACATTTTGAGGACATACTGTGTCCCTTGTAAAGGTCATTTTTGGTTTGGTTTTACATCGCACTAACACAGTAGAGGTCATATTGCTACTTAACAGCTGAAGACGTCAGGTCAATGCATTATTTCAGGCACAAACAGGCACCCGAGTAGAACCTCTGACATTTTGTAAGCTTGATGGATAGCTTCCTCTCATGAAAGAATTCCATGCCTTGAGGAGCAAGATGTCTGAAGACATAGCCAATGGTGTTAACCACTCAGCCATGGACACCCCTGTATATGTGAATTTTTTGTCAAAACAATGTAGTATTGTGATAACCTTCACCATAATGTATTCATTCCGGTTATATATACATATATATCTATATATATCTATATATATACATCTTTTCTATATAATTTCTTACTAATGGTCATTAAATATTCAATACATATTTAGAAATTTATAATTCTTCAGTAAATGCTCATATATCCACCATCATATTGACTACATGTATATTCATCAAGTATTTACCTGGACTATTTGCGGCATTTGCGAGGGCCGCCAACCCTTGCAAGTTCTGTAGATGCATGTTGCCTGTGGCGTCACCTGCAAATACATTGCAATCCTTTATAATTGCACAATCTTAAATCAAACTTTGCCCCTTCTGAGTTTAGTCAACACCATTGGTGGTTATCTTTCTTATAATTATATCAAAATAATTTATTTTGTGTAAGATTAGCAAATTTGCTTGCATCAAAAGATTATAAGTTAAAGGTATTGTGTTTCAATACACAACACAGTAAATTAACATTACATATCTTTCACAAATGTGGTGAAGCATGATTTATAACATAGAAAATCAACTTATGTGAAAATTAAGAAGAGTAATAATAAAATGTTTTTTATTCCTCCTATTTTCAATATAATTGAGTGTGAAACTTATTTTAAATATGAATTAAAAATAATTATATTAAATGTAGTTTGGATTCACATTCATCTCTTTAAAATCAACATCTCACAGTGTCTGTGAATAAAATAGAAACACAAAATCAATGACAATTCAGCACAATAAAGACTGTCCCATATTTACTTTGGAAAGTGTGAAACTAATTATCACGCTGTTTCAACAACAAAACGTTGCATGAGAAAAGAAATCGAGCGTTTGATGTATCTAAGTTAATCGAGAATAGATATTGAGTTTCTTGAAACGGTGACAATTACGGGAACAGAAGATATCCTACACAATCACAATAACTACATTTGACATGAACTCACAACACAACATGTACATGCTTTAAGTAATTATCACTCTCTCTTCTAAAATCACTGCCAATTTTAACATCTCAATATATCAACTTGGTAATTTGAAATATCGCTTGTTGCTTGGGGTTGTTTCTTTTCCCCCCGAGATATAATGTATATAGATAGGACTTGTGTATATCATTTCTCATTGATACATGTATATTACACAGTTGAAAACTTATTCCAATTGATTTGATTTTGTATAAAAGAAACCCTCTAAAGCCAAACTATCTTCGTAAGAAATGGTTCTACTGTTGAGAAACAATGATAATAATAAGTAAATGTGAATAACCCACTGGTTTCATAAATGAGAAACAAAGGAATATCAAATACATTCAAAAATTATCTTTGTATTATTCAATTTTTTCAATTTTTTTTTTGAAAATGGTATATTCGTAAATACAACTCTTGTAAAAATTTCATGATATAAATTCTTCTGGTGATAATTACTTTATGAACACAAAAGACACTTAGAAAAATTCTTCACAATTATAAAACAGTTAACATTTAATACAACTTCTAGAAAGTCTAATTTACAAATGGTGTAGTAGAAATAAAACAATATAAACATAGAATGAACCAACACAGTCTTTGTATAGAAAAAGTAATTCAAAAACATGATATTAAAATGTTTATATTAAAACCATTGTTAGGGGCTAGAATAGCCTACTGTAAGCTATAATTCACAAGTAAAATAGCATAAATTGTGTGTGGAACAAAATGTTAACATGTTGTAGTTGTTGTTGTTTTATACCATTCATGCAATAAATAGAGTGATCAATTCACAAAACAAGCAATAAAAACAGCTAAGGTGAAAAATCATCCAAAATGTTGCAGATAAAAAACATGTGACTTTTTTAATCATTTTATATAATGTAAAAACAATGGCCATCTGTACAAATCTTTCTGCATTGCATTTAAAATGCTTATCAGGCTCTTGTACATTAATTAATAGTTGAAATATAACCGAAGCTGTGTTAAATAATTAAGATGAACTAGAGTATTTTGTATGAGTTTTCACCTTTTATCAACAACATTATATCAACTAATGTTTTGAATCTAGGGTGTTTATAAAGCAATATAACTGAATATTCTAAATCAAATAACATTCCATGCAGAAAAAAAAAACAAGAAACAAAATCTAACTTATAGATATAACAGAAGCATTTTATGGTGTAGCAACATGAACTTCATACTGTGCAGCATACTAAGATGAAATTCCATTCATTTCCAGTCCAAAAATAAAAGTATTTTCTCGTTACTATGGTGACAACATTAGTTTCTTATGCTTAAGGAAATAGGAATTATTTGGAAATACATCTGTAGCTGGTACATCAGGTTTGTGAAAATCTGCTTGAAACAAACGTCTATATGATGAAATAAAAACAATTTCAAGAAAACAAAAGAGCATGCTGTGTATAGTTTCAAGCAAATTGTCCCCTCGAGTATGATTATAAGAAAAGCCAAGATTTGATTACCAAAAAATAACAATGAAAGTATAAAAACGCCATGCAGACAACATGGAAAAAATGCAATAAAAATAGCTAGCCAACTTCAAAAATACAACTGTTTGTTGCATAGGGCTGCAATGCTTACTTAGCATTACAAATCTTCGTCAACAAGGAGACAAAGACTTTTAAATCCACCAATTCAATGCTTTTTCATGGACAAAATAACCCAATATGCAAATATATTTTTTATATACCATTGAACCTTTCTGATCATATTTTTTGTTTTACAGATTTTTCCCATTTTTTTTTCATTTAAATTTCTGCATTCATTTTGACAGTCTCATGCTTGTAAGCATAGCAACCCCATGTGTCAGAGCAGACAATATAAATAGCGGCTGTAAAAATAGACGTGAACGAGGAGAGTCAATGTACCTGCCGCGTTATTGCTGGCACTCGAACAATTTGACGATGACGAATTATTGCCACTTGAATTCCCGCCGGCAAGGGCAGCTAACGCCGCTAGAAGGCCTGATAGAGAACACGGCATTGCAGCATTAAATACATCATTAACAAGGTCTCAATCACTCTACATTCATAACTCTTTAATTCTTAATTAATCAAGTAAAGCCACAATCATTCATTAGTTAAAAGTCTTTTCCCCAACTAAAACCTCTTTATAGCATCTGAGGATTATCATATATAAAGTATAATAAAATTCTAATTTAATCAAAGAAAAAAAAACAACAAAAAACTATCATAGCTTTCATAATGAGATATATTAAATACAATCATAATGCATGTCAAATGTTCTTATTATTTTCTGCAGAAGCTCATGCACTCTTTAAGAATAAATATTTAATTCAAAAGAGGAAAATATGTAAATTAAAACAACACGATTTATCATTCTACTTGTAAAAACATATGTGATTCATGAGTCTGACTGCCATCCCCCGAGCTTTCTTCAATAATAACTTCTAGACAAATGGAACAAGTAAATATTCCAGTTCTATCTTTCTTTTTCATTTTTTTGTCATTGAAAAATACATAAGTTCTCTTCAATAATCATAAAAAAGACAGTTTAAAGAAAAAATTTGGTAAAGATTTGAAATAAAAGCTTTTGTAAAGTAAATTTATTCCATTCCAACACGAGCATTTTGAACTAACCAGATATATATGCAGTCAATAATATTAGAGAAGAATTCAAATTGAATAAAATAGAAAACAACGTCAGGGGGATACAAGAAATAGGGTACAACAAGACACGTGAAGATATAAATTAAGGGCAATTTACATCCACCAATGGCTGGTATAAATTCTCACTTATTTCATCACTATCTGAATCTATTTCATCCCTATCTGAATCTATGTCTGCGGGACAAATATCCCTCTTCTTATCATTTTAGTACTTATATTATCTTTTTACTGTTTCACTGTTGCGTTTATGTAATTGGCTTGTCTTGCTTATTTTAAATTTGGAACCATCTATTAACATATTAAGGGATTTTATAGAGAAAACCAATATGTAATGGTAAGACTGAACGGATGAACAGAATTTGGCTGGTTCAATAACGGTCACTTATATCATTACTGCTAGTTATCAAACAGTCAAAGAACATCGAAAGTGTTGTAATATGCAGAATTATTTACCAGATTGTGATGGATGTATAATTTCAAGAACAAATTACAACGATAAGAACAAGCAAAAACAGAAACAGAAGTGGAGAATGTGTGCAAGGGAGACGAGACATAATACACCATATACTTCTTCATAAATAACACAACTCCAAATAAAACTAAGAACAGTAGATCAATTATTTCATCAGTTGCTTTTTGTCTGTCATTCCCAGGGCCTACATCACCAAAAATTTGTGTAATGAATTTGTCCTGGTCTGAATAAGGATTTGTTCATTTATTAATTAAAGAGAACTATCAAATTAATTTTTACTAATGAGAAGTCAATGGTATAGAGTGTGATCCTGCTGTCTGATTTTACTGTCAGACTGGACTGTACACTGGTTATACCTGCTTCTTATTATTAATACTTGAGACCAAAAGATTTCCAGTTCGTTAATTAAGAAAGTTGGTCAAATTGTTAATAAAGATCAAAGAAAAGACCCTTCACAATCTTAACAAAATTTACATGTTTTCTAACCTACATTTATGAAATAACTTAATTTCACAATGTAAATGTAATACGAATTTTTTTACTCAAAAATGAGACAAACAACTTATTTGTCAATTAAGGCTTTAACCAATGATCCTTAAAGATGTATTATGAATGAATTTTCCTATCAGCCATGCAACTATACTGTCAAAATTTTAAAAAACTTCACAACTTTGATCAATTTTGAAATGCATCTTCAATATTTGTATGATACTGGATTATATTGAGACTTGAGTCAGTCGAAGAATGTAAATCATGCAGCCTACACAGTACTGGATAGAGATTCTGCAACTAAATGGGGTGTACTAATCACAATGTGTAAAATGGTGAACACATAAGACATTGTAGATACACACAGGGTGTACAATACACACATATGTGTAGTATGTTAAGAATTATGTGTTCACATTCTGAATATGTGTATACACGGGCGTGTATGACATAATACCTGGATTGTTGCTGGCAGCAGCTAATATCGCCAATAATTGTTGAATATTCATAGCATTTAAACCTGCAAAAAGTCAGTACATACAAACATTCTTATAATTATGTTACTATAAATAGACACTCAGATGTTTCAATATTCTGTCAATCGATTCAAACCTTGTGCCAAGGTGATATACAATGTAGTTTCAGTACCTAAAGGCAAATTCAGTAAAGAATAATACACTGTACTTTGAGAAAATAATAGCCCATAGTAAATTTCACTTTCAGCAAGAAAGGAAAACATTAAAGCATGGCCAAGGAACATGTTTAAAGTCCAGAATTATTTCACCTTTAAGACAGGTTCACAAACATATATAAACAAACAGCTATAGGAGATATGACAAAATACAACATATATTTAAATACAAAAAACATGTCTACATCTTTTTGTAACATAAAATAATAAACACATATAGTAACTGCAAACTGAATCTTTCAATTTCTGTGCTACATTATTGTGTCTGAATAAATATGGTTCCACATTGCACTGACATTTCTCAATGAACCATGGAAACAACAGTGCCGTGATAAATCATTCAATTATAATTCTGGTCCGCAGTAAAGAAAAAATATTTTACGTAACGGTATATAATAATTCACTTTGCAGATAATATAAAATGCAAGTATTTTCAATGAACATAAAAACATTATATATGTGACACCACTATGTAAAGAAAATATATTTGTTTAAACAACAGAGGAGTAAAAATTCCGAGCTCTACGTTATAACCTAACAATAAAGTGGGTGGGGTACGGTCCAGTGATGTTAATACAGAGCATGCTTTGGTAAATCAATTTGTTAAAAAACCCAACTAAACATGTGCACAAGAATCTACCCATGCACAATCAGTTCTAGCCTTCACATATTTGTAAAATGAGCATGTTTGAAAATTTCATTTTTATATTTTAGTACACTAATGTTGTCATACATGTATGTTCCCTAAACCCTTTACTTTAAATAATAATCTTTTGACATTTAAAAAAGTGTTAAAGTCCAATCTAAAATTTCATTTATGATAAGAAATGTACCATTAAAAAGAGTGTTTCAAGACCTTTTGTGCTTAAATAAAGCAAACTGGTCCACAACCTGTGAATGATGTTTGTGTATTAAGTGGACTGAACATGTTTGAGGAGTGAAAATTTTGTGGAATAAACATGTCTGTGGAATTAACATGTTTGTGGCATAACCATCTATGTATTAATATGTTTGTGGAATAAAATATTTGTGACATAATCACATATGCATTAATGTTTGTGGAATTACCATGTTTGTGGCATAACCACATATAAAGTAATATGTTTGTGGAATAACATATTTGTGACATAATCACATATGCATTAATGTTTGTGGAATTACCATGTTTGTGGCATAACCACATATAAAGTAATATGTTTGTGGAATAACATATTTGTGACATAATCACATATGCATTAATGTTTGTGGAATTACCATGTTTGTAGCATAACCCATTTGTAGTAATATGCTTGTGGAATTACCATGTTTGTGGCATAACCCATTTGTAGTAATATGCTTGTGGAATGAACTTGTTTGTGGCATAACCCATTTGTAGTAATATGCTTGTGGAATGAACTTGTTTGTGGCATAACCACATTTGTAGTATCAAGTTTGTGGCATTTGCAAATTCAAAGCAGAATCATGTTTGTGGGATTAGCATGTGTGTGGCATTACCACATTTACAGCATAGTCATATTTGGGGAATTAACTAAATGTATTTACAGTATCATATTTGTTGCATTGTCATCTTTATGATATTCCCAAAACTTTTCAAAGCAGCTCAAAACTTAACACTATCATAACTGCATGCTTGTCAAATATGCATGGTTGTCTATATCTGTAAGAATAGTTCATCTCCTGACTAACGTATTTATAAACCCTATATAAAAACCTTAAACTTTAACCCAAATATGTATATAATTTATAAAATCCCCTATTCTTACAAACAAGACATCAATCTGTCACTGACATTTCCAGTCAGGTAAGTTATCATTAATCACCATATAACTTCTTTTTTTGAGGAAAGAAATGGAGGAAATGAAGCAATATATCTGGGTTATTTTCTTTTTGCCAAAATTTCAAATCCTATTTCGACACGTGTGTAATAGGCAAGACAGCTATTCTGTTGGCAGTGACAATGTTGTCAATATATATCTACTTGTAAGAGTTGTTTCCCTTATCTAAAATTATTCCCGTTTTCTCTATTTAGAATCTTACCTAAATTTCCAACATTTGCAAACATGCCTAGATTTCCAGTCGTCATGGCTTGTTGTAACAACTGCGAAAAGAAAAAATAATTACACATCGTCAATTATCTGGGAGAACGTTTTCGCACAAATAAGTGGTGGAAATAAGTTATATTACACTGTACCGTGACAGGGAAAACTCAATTCTTGTGTTAAATTTTAGCGCCTAGTAAAATCAACATGTCAATTGTGAAATAGACTTATAACAATTTTCATCATTAAATGAAAGTATCTTTACACATTTCCCTTGACAGTGAATATTTCTCTCATGAAACTTAACAAGAAAATAATTAAATATTTCATTCCAGCTAGCAACTTACAATTAATTCTATATTTTCACACTTAAAGTTGTCAAAGAACAATTAGTTTGAATGCCTCAGACATAAAAATGGTAGGGAATGAAATTTTCAACAAACATATAAGTGTCTGATAAATATATACTGCTATAAATGGGTATTACAGCCATCTCATAAATAAAATAAAGTCTGTCAGGAAAATTTGTTTCTCGCATTACTGTTTAAAACATTCAGTGTGGACATTAACGTTTACAGTGCTAGTTTAAAATGGCTATTTATTTTGAAACATAGCAACTAATTAGATTTACTGATAAATTTATCAATAGAAAAAATTTGGGTGTTGACATATATGAGGCCATTACATAGAGTCCATTTAGACGATTTATTCCGCCTAGCTCAGTATCAATCTAGACATAATTTGATGACTAAATGTGAACGTTTTCTTTTATTCAACATAATAGACCCTTCAACTAGAACACACTACTTCCATCATGCCCCTGTTGGTTCATATTCAGTGAGGCATTATTGGTACCAAGTTTCCTCATAGAAGATTCATGATTCTACTAAAGTACCACCCACTCATGCCTATAAAATGTGTTAAGTAGCACCTGAGTTTTTCATAATCAGTAAAGCTTGAAAAGTCACCATATGATCTTTAAACTGTTAGTATGGCTTTAAATCTAAACATAAGAAATTAATCCTGAGGTCACTGGTGAAAATACTGCTTTCAATACTATTGTTAAAATGTTTGAAATAATGAACTGAATATATTGCAGCCATTAAAAATATTGTGTAAACACAGGCAACTTATTTCTTTTACATTGTCTTATATCTGATTAAATTGCACTGATAATATTTAATGTTAATTCTTACGAGACTGATACAAATTCTTCTCTTTTTAAGACACAAAACAGTGTTACAGAATGTCACAAAATAGTGTCACAAAATAGTGTCACAAAATAGTGATAATAAAAGTCAACTTTTCTTAATATGACTGACTAGTACAGACTATCTACCATAATCAAACTTTACTGTATTTATTTGTCTTAACACCTTATAAAATTATTATTTTTAAACATATTTTGAACCAATACTTATGTACATACCGCTAAATACTGTGGCCCTATATTTATTCCTCCACCCCCTGTTCCTCCTCCAAACGATGCCAATAAATTTGCGTTCATTTGCTGTAACTTTTTCTGTTCCTTTTCTTTCTGTGTATCAGCAAACTTAACTACTAATGGTGAACTACACCCCTGTAATAACAAATATTTATTTTATGCTACAACAATTGAGATTTTAGACACATATCGTCAGAATCATGGAAGAAACCTTCAGTTAACATAGTCTGTTTTATAGTACTTGAACATAAATGGAAAAGTGACATTCAAAAATGCTTTTACAGAGTTCTGACCTTGACCTTTGATCTTTTTGCATGCAAAATTCGTAAAGATGCATCCAAATACCAAGTTATAATTCCATAATTGAAGTTACTAACCATAAAGAAAAACTTAATTAAAGAAGTTAATAAAGGTCATAATGACTTTGAACATTGGATCCAAAATGAGAATGGCAGATAGGAGTTATCAAGATGCAGGTACAAACAAAGATTGTGAATTTCCTAGGTCAATGCATTTTTATTTATTTTTTAATTACATGTCCCAGTGACCTTGACCTTTGACCTAAAATGAATGAGGCAGGTAAACATGATCAAGGTATATCTACATACAAATTTTGAAGATTCTAGGTCAATGCATTTTGATTTAAATGCATGTTTTATGTTTTGTTATTACAGGTCCCAACAACCTTTAACCTTTGATCTGAAAATAGATGTGGCAGCTAGCCCTCATCAAGGTACATCTACATACAAATTTTCCAGGTCAATGCATTTTCATTTGACCTTATCAGACTTTAATATTAAAGGTTGTATGATAATAATGCTTTTTATATCAATAAACATGACATGAAAAGAAGATGTATTTCTTTCAGAATGAAGACATGGAATATATTTGCCTTCAAGGACATTTATGACAATATAACAAAATTTTATATTTCATAGTCACGCAGGATAGTATTTGAAATGTCTAACTTCCCAGTCAGATTTATTTATTCACAGCATATGGGTTTTGATCAGAAAAGAGAACTATTATGCACTGTCAGTGAAAAAAAACCCAAACTCCCACTAGTTCAGTCTCCTAAAATCTATACAAAAGTACATCAGTAATACCCCTGCGTCTGCCCGTCTCTGCTAAATCTAACACCAGTATGATTGTCAACTAGTAAAAATTTTACAAATAAAACCTTACAAAAGCACAGATATTGGTTTACTTTTTACTATTTATCTAGCTATAACACGTCTGCTATTTTCTACGTTGTGTTTTACACAGCCTTACTGCCACTCAACTTCCTGTCAACCATCAAATCACTGTACAAAATTATCACAATTCTCGGTTTCAAAGGTGACAAGAACATATTTTAGAAAACCAGTACTTTTCTTTCTTCTCATGTGAACAACAAACTGAGAATTGTCATATAATCAGTCCAATTTTGCACAAGTTGGCGCTGAATACAGATATTTGCTAACCATGTCAGAAAATTTAGGAGAAGTTATATACTCGGGAGGGAAGATCTCAAACAAGAAAACGAGAATAATGCTCGAGGGTGCGACAAATCTGGTAAAACCGTGGCAATAGCAAGTTGCTGATTAATTACGGTCACATTCAATATTCTGTAAAACAATAAACTACAGCCAGCATTTCCCTGTATTTTATGATATACATTCTGTCATATAAGATGTCATGTTTATTGGCTTATTTGAATATTTCAGGGAGTATAAAGGCTGTCTGAATATATGGTACAAATCCAACTTTTGACTGCTCAAAAAAATGACTGTGCCATCTGCTTAGAAATCATACATAGACGTCTATTTCACTAACATTACCTCAAAAAACATTTCAATATGAAAACTTGGTAATTTAACAAAAGTATTGCCAAAATACATGTACAAACAATGTCATACGAAAATTGGTATTATTTAACAGTAGATTAATGGACGAATCAAAACAGCATAAGATAAAGTTTTTTACAAAGTTGAACTTTTTCCATGTTTTATACAAACAAGGAAAATTTTTCATTTCAAATCAAATTTTGTAATACAAACTTCCTTCAAGAAATTTTCAAAAAGTTTTTATTTTATTTTTTTTTGCACAAAAATTCATCATGAGTAATTTCAGTGAAAAATTAAAAAATTTTGGTGTGTTTGATATTCTGAAAAGCATGCCTGACTTTTTGGCACTGCAGGGAGTGGTCTGTAGCAGACATCTCATATTTCAAATTTTATTTCCCTTTATCATTAGCAGATAAAAAATCCACCAGAACCTTTCATAAAAATTGTAGGATCTGCAGGTGCATCCGTTGTTTAAAAATGGCATCAAGGCAAATACCAGGTATCTGCTGTTTTCAGAAGAAAATACATTTTTATATCAAAATGATATCTACAAATTCTTTGACCACCTAGGTGTAAACCAAAGCAAGAATATGACAGCCAACAGAGTGTTAGTTTTGAGTTTTTGTCTTCAGATAAACCATGCATAAAACACACGGCATGTCGCATATTTTTTTCATCTAAATTTCTAATCTCACTAAAAATTGTTTTTCCTCCATACTATTTTGACACTGATTGCTTCATGTATATAAACAGCACTGAGTTCAGCTTTAAAAATTTTTTTTTCTTATAATTTCTTATTTGTACTTACCTCCATTGTCTGTGAATGATGCATGTTTTTAATACAGTTTTGAGCTGATTGTCGACTTGAAAATGTAATGAAAGCACAACCTGAAACAAATAAATAAATTACGTTGTATTATTCCATTATTTGTTTGAATCTTTAATGACCTTTACTTCATAATGGTGTTTTATTTTATGATGTTCTGTGTTTAACAAAAAACAATTAGCAGAAACATCAGTTATTAGTGAAAGAGGAGATGTAACTTGATTGATTTATTTTGTATAATGTAATGCATTCTTCAAGGTTTTTATAATTCTGTATTCACAAACAGTTAAAATGGCCGGCTATTATCCAGACCAGATTACAAGCCCATGCTGTCTGTCCAAACACTTTACTATTATATCCAAATTAGCTTTAAGCCCTGCTGGCAGCAACTGATTAACCCATACCACCAGAGCAGACCAAGATCAGCTGGCACAACCATGTCATCTGCTCATGATCTGAACTTTTTTCTATACGCTCAGTACATATTTTGAAATTTTCCCTAATAATCATGAATGGTATAGTCAAGTTGAAGACTGGAATATGGACAAGTCCATTTTCAGATATTTAGAATTCTAATGGTTAAAGGTCTTTTATCATTAAGCGCCTTAAATTAACAACAGACAGTTTTAACAAATCAATATATACATATTATAAGAGAGGAATAGCTTATTTCAGCGCTGCAGTAATTTATTTGTTTAATTGGCCACAGACTAGCAAGCTATTAGTACAGTACTCAATTATCATCAATTTTAGCAGAGTAAAAGAATGAACAGAATAAATTCTTCTAGAAAATTGAAATGAATTCTAGTCTAGAAGTAAACAGCTATAATCATTCAACAGGCTCGCTCATTTGTATCAATCTGCATCAAACACAAAACAACCCATTAAAACCAAACACTGTGAAATACAATTGTACAGAAAAACTTTGCATTTTGGCAAATGTTACATTGTTTGAAACAAAATTTACAGAAAATTGTCCTACACTCCTTCAGTCTCATGGCAGCTTAACAAAAATTGTCTTCTGAAAAGTAATTTCTCTAAAACATCAGAATTTTCAAATAAAAGGACCTGAGTAGCATTGCTTTTCAGAAACATTATTTCATGTATCATTAACAAATACTTTCACTTGACAGATGACCAATGAAAGGAAATGTACCTCCACCATTGCCCCGCCCACCTCCCCTGTATTAATTATTGTAAAAATCTGAAAATGGTTGCCTGTAGTGACAGAATCTCAATAATGATGGAAGTAAGTACATGTTTGAAACTGTTATTTAGGGGAGATATTATCCATCATGTGAGGATTGTTATTTTGAAATTTCAACAGTTATCATGTCTATTTTTTGTATATAAATTCTCATTTTAACATCCTAGAAATGGTATTTTAACTAGTATAAACTACACTAATCTTGACATGATACAACTACAACAGTTTTGTTTCAAAGGTTTTGTATCAGTTTTATATTGTTTAATCAGTGAGTATATCTGAAATGAAAATACATATTATGACACAAATGTATCACCCCTATTGCTTTAAAGCAGCCTGTATCTTATGTAAGTGTTTTCTTCACATGTTTCATTTCTCGTAAATTTGTTGATTTCAGCGTAATTTATAACTATATCACAGCTTACGATCTGTATTCATGACAGGCTGTCAGTTTTTTTTATACCTCTTAAATAAACACAACAGTCTTATAATTCTAGTAAAATAATCTGTGAATATGTATAATCTTAAAAGAAGTTATCATCAGTTTCGTATTTTTAAAATTGAATGATAAGAAATAGCGATGTTTTTTATGCTTTTTCAATGAAATTAAACATCGTAAAAAAATTAATATTTTTCAGGTGTAATTAAAAATCACCTGAACTTTTGCCTTAACCCACTACTTATAAGCATCCTCTGGCCAAGAATGTTGCCAGTTTTTTATGTTCTAAGGCTTAAAACATGAATATTTCTAGCTAATTGATACTCTTCATTGCAAAATACAACTTCTTAAATGCTATTTTTATGACAGGACAATGCCACCTAATAATGTACCTGGCAAGAATGAATTTGTTAATGTGACTGAGTTTGCTTCTCCAATATAAATATACTATTACAATAGTTCGAAAATGGAAAATAGTATCTCAGAATAAAATTTGCAATCAAAACAGTTATGCCAATGGTGTTTACTGGTGCCCTTACCTCTACTTTGTCCATTTTGATCTCGTAACACCGTACAATCTTCTATATTGCCAAATGGAGCAAACATCATTTTAACTTCTGTCTCACCAAACTTTTTTGATAACATTCCTATAAATAATTTTCTTTCTTCTGAAAAAATATGAGAAAACAGACATGTGTGTATTATTGTTTATTTCATATATAAACCCATGATGTATTTTCATCTATTCAAAAATAAGATATATCAACATTCTTTTCCTTATATTTACAGAGTAAAGACATAAGGCTATCCTTAATCTGAAGCAAATTGCCAAAATCTTTTCTTAAAATTAATTTCAAATAATATCTGTCTAAAAATACATGTATTGAAAAATGCATTTAATAAATGATACAGAAAAGAAAGTACACATATATTTTTTTCCAGACATATAAACAAACACACACTTCAATCTCACTTCAGGCTCAGGTAAAGAAAACTTAAGCATTAATTGTATTTCTATATTACATCATAAAAGTTCAATGTTTCATCAGTAATCTTTCAAAATCTTAAACAGATTCTGCATAAACTAACAGCTGCATAAATAATAAACACTTCAATGTTTAATTTTAAACAGTTAGCAATCTTCAGTGAAGGAAATACTGACAGTTGGGATTTCCTTCTAAATCTGATAACATTTAAATGCACTTTGGATCATAAAATTTGATTTAATGTTTGTTGTTGTTTTTTTATGACCAAGACTAGTTTCAAAAGAAAAGAAAAGGTATTTTTTTTCTCTTTGTTTCAACTGAGATAAACAGTGCCAAAATGTTTTTGAATTAAAATATTCTGAATTTTTTTCCTACTGAAAAATAAAGAAACATATACATGTAATTAAAACATATAGATAAATATTGTGCAGCACACCAATGTCAACTAAGCTCAAAACTGAAGACATGACGTGAAAAGACCTTGGCTATCCTAAATTCAAAGCCCAGACACAAAGTGTCACAGGGCGAGAAAAATGTGCTGCCTGACTGGGACTCGAACCCAGGACCCTCAGAATACTGTACTGTGGCTCTACCTACTGTTTACACACTATATCTCCCCTCATTAGAGAACAATTCAATACTGAGACAACAGTATAACTTTACCAGGCCATTTATTAAGGATAATAAATTATGACGTAATTTTATTCATGACAGTACAGTATGTCTAGCACTTTCTAGTCTTAAATGATTAATAGTAAGAAAGATTTGCAAGAGGAGCTTCATTTTATATAGGTAAGAACTGGTACAGAATCAAGGAACATTATTATTATGTTTCTAGGTAACAATGCTTGTTATTTGGTATTTGCCTAACTGACACATTTGTGAAAACTGGCACTTTTTTGGTTTGGTTTTACGGTGCTCAAACAAAGTTTAGGCCATACGGCTCCCAAACAGTAAGATGATTTTGGCTTACCTTGGATGTTACAAACATAAAGCAACACCAGGGGTCAAAACCACCTTACCCGCAGGAGCTAAGAGATGCATAGACTCCAGAAAAAAAACTGGCACTAAAACCCTAATAACACAGATAAAATACTTAAAAGTCTATATTCAAAGTCATGTCTTTCTAATACAAAATATATTTACACATTAAAAACATTGGTAAGCAATTAGTAAATTTTAGTAAGAAAACTATCCTCCACGTATATTCAGAGTATAAGATATTTTTTAACCCATTTCACCACACACATTACAGAAATACACATCAGACACAAACATATCAAGAATTTACTATAATGACACTGCTTCAACCCCTAACCTGCTGGCAGAAACTATATATAACCATGCAACCAGTGCATCTGTGCTGTATAATCATGACCTGTACTGTTTTCTTTCAAAGTCAGTACATATTTTGAAATGTTTCCCTTGTCCAGATTGAAAGACAGAGAAGTCCATTAATGGTAGGCAAGGTTTAAGAAAAGATTTCCCTGACTTTATAAAGGTGGTAAAGGTGAGGTTTCTCAGACTGTATGAGTATTCGTTTAAACATTTTTTACAAATACAGAATTACAATCTAAAATTTTTGGCAATGCCTCATGCCACATTGTACCAGGAGAGCAACCAAAGCCAATATCTATATTAACTAAAATAAGGAAAGAATTATGTAATGTTTTAATGTTTCACCACCACAATTTAACAAAATACATTCTATATTTATTCCAACTTTGTCTCTATGCACAACAACATAATAACCAATCTAAGCAATGTAAGGTGTTCTTTATCTTTAACTTTAATCAATTTACCTCTCAACCTCGTTGTGCCCAATACCCAAATATTGTTATAATTTATACATCAGAGTGATCTAGTTGATGTTGTTGAGACATATGCTGAAAGTGTTTTTGTTGTTGTTTTTTCTTGCAAGTCTACAATGTGTGAAGCAATATCCCATCCATAGTTCCATGTAAGAAATTTATCAAATCAGGTCTTATAATTCAATTAAATCCACTTTCTTATACTGTAATACCATAAAGTATTTTGATGCGCATACCCTAGAGTATTTCATGCGCATACCCTAGAGTATTTCACTGCAAAAACTCTTCATAATTATTACATCCCTTTCACACCATAACCCCCTTTATACCAATTTAAATATCAAATACATTTAGTAAATATTACTAAATTCAATTGATATTTATATCATTAAACTACAAAGAAATGAATTGGAATATATATAGTTTGTAGAAAAAAAACAACATAATACACTGGTTAGAAAACCACTCAACAAGATTTATACCACTCAATAATACTGTTTATATATAGATATTCTAGTAACAATATTAAACAATGTCTGCGATATATACACTATAAATAGAGCTGTCACATTTCTTCCATAAAAGAAGTACCGCATCATGAAATATTTATATCTATCAAAATGTCACAGTAACTAAATACCTGCCATTTCCTTGCCCATCATGCAATTTCTTTTCCAATCTGATCACTTTGTTTACTAAGGAAAACCTACTAAATTTTAGATATATCATTATTTTAGTATAATTGTGACGGAAGCTTACAGTGTAACTCTCACAACCAACCAGTCCTGCGCCGTGGTATGTTGGAAAATAGAGGTTTAACCCCAGAAAGGCTTGATACAGTTTAGAGGCAAACACCTTAACTGTAAGGCCACCTCTCCTCTAAAATAATATGCATTAAAAGACAAAGTATTACCTTGCTTCAATATATGATTTTTTGTATCAATAGAGGTAGCCTACGAACAGTGTTTCATTTTGACAGTTCAAGACAAAATACGTTCTAAGAAATTCAACGCTTACATTTTAAAATCATTTCTTATGGACGAAAAAAAAAGAATATTTTGTAACAAACTTTTAAAATAGTATCTGATCTGAGCTATAAAGGTTTTATTAAGCTGCCGTAAGAGAATCAATCGTCTGTTATGGTGAAATATAAACAAGTTCAATTCAATAAAGCACTCGCTATAACTGAATTATAACAGACAAATATAGATATTTCCATGATTAACAATATATGTAGAACACATATATAGTAAACATTGAGTCACAGCTATATGTATGAAACTTATAGTAAAGACTAGATAGTAACGAAAATGAGAACAGAGATCCTCAAGGCAAGGTGACGTTCACAGAACGCAGCCCCCAACACAATCCAGTGACACCAGCAGGGCACCAAGAAGGCACGGAAACCGACCCGAAAATCAGAGAGGACAAAAGGGCAGCCAAAGGAGAGGAAGGATATGCAAAAATTAAAATGATCAAAATTAAAAGTGGCCGTTACAACTGATCAACCTACTGTTCTTATATTATAATCTTATCTCAAATAATACTTTGTATTGTATGGGTAAAATCAGAGACTCTTAAGAGCTTAGAAACTGTATGGCATCAGAAGCCTTAGACCTAAGAAATTGCTGGAAGCCATTAAGTATGCTTGGTCTTTCATGTTACCGTTTTCATTTTAATGTATCATAAACAAATGGAATACAGATAAACAAATTTGTTTATTCTAAGCTGTAGACAAAATTTGTTTGGAATTGAAAACTAAACTTTACAATAAAGCACTGTAATTTATTGTACAATAAAGCATTGTAATGCATTTTTATTTCAACACTGTTGAGTTATTTAATGACAAGAGCTGTCTGGATTTCTTCTGTATTAGTAACACTATGTTTGTTTCTCCTCTAAGACTTTGAAAACAGTAAATTCTCGACAAATTGAATATTCTATTACATGGAGTCTGACTCTACTCAACAGGGGTATAATCAATCTTATAAGATAACAATAAATGCAATCTGCCTTCAAGACTAAACAAACTAACCAATGAATTCAGTTAGTGTCTCCCTAGGCCGTCTACAAACCTTTACCATTACAGTCATACAGTCAGTTAGTACTGGGACTTTAACTGGGCTGTGTGATTCTATTTGTCTATGTAAAAAAATATGTTTCAGAAAAATATCGTACAAAAATGCTAAGCATAGCAAAGTTTTATCTATTAGGTTGGCTTTATTAACATTGTTTATATTAAGACAGGAAAAAGCCATTTTGTAGCAATTTTGGCTCCTTAATAAAACAGAATTTTGAAGAGCAGAAAGAGAACAAATACAAGAGCCAAACTTGATCATTTTAAAAATTCAAGTTATTTTGTGAAACCAGTAGTCACCTTTAACCTTATACCCCAGTAAATTTGTGTCTTGAACTTGTTCTGCTTTGAATTTTTTAAAATCCCTCAAACTTTAAGTAGACTATTCCAAATACATAGCAGGGCAAATCCATTACAGAAATTTAGGGTTAACATTTATTTTTTGGTACAGTATATTGAGTGGTATGATTGTTATGTAAATGCAACATTTACCAGTGTTCTGCTCACCATTTCTTTTTTCACTATCTGCCGGCTTCATCTGTACAGGATGATGCATCTATAAATATACAAAATATCAATCATATTATACACATTGCTCTCAAATAACAATAACCTAACATGTATATTCTTTAGGCTGCAATGTCCCAATTATATGTTCAAATGATTAAACTTAAAGGGATATATAAATTTTAAGGAATGCTTAAAATATTTACATAAAATATATGACATTCTGCATGAAATTTATAAAATATGACTGAATTTTTCATTCAAATCCACAATTTCTATTGCTTAACAGTGTTACTGCTATTTCTGTCTGCTTTACTTACAGAGTTGCCACTATTTCTATAAACTTTAATTACAGAGTTCACAATTTCTGTCTACTTTACTTACATAGTCCTTCTTTACTTACAGAGTTACCACTATTTCTATCTGCTTTACAGTCTCAGTTACCACTATTTCTATATATTTTGAAGCATTAAAAGATTATTTCTGTGGATAGTGAATTAGTAGTTTAAATCACTTTATGACACATTTTTAAAAACAGTTTTAATAAAAACTTTTTTTTTAAATTCTTAAAGTAAGCTTGAATTTTGACTATGCTGCTCTAAGAGAAACAAGCATTTGATAGTATTGCGGGCAATACAGTAGTCCCCTACCGGTCCCTCAAAAAGTTCTTTAATTGTCATACACTCCTGTATATTGCCATTTATAATGAATTTGAGGATGAAGTCTGTATTTGAAAATATCAACCACAAAACATAATAAAATAAGTTTGTCTATATCACAGTAATGTGTTAAGTTTCCATGCTTAGTAAGGAAATTATGTTTATACAACCTTGTCATATTATTTAAAGTAAATCCTATAAGGAATGAAGAAGTTGGAGTGAAAATACCAGTTTCTCGAAAAAAATCTAAGTTCAAGGGGGACATAATTCTGGAAATAGTCTTGCTAGAGTATTTAACCTTCTCAAAAATGTCGAGTGATAATAAGAAACATATATATATGAAGTTTGAAGTAGATACATTAGGAAATAAAGAAGTTATTTAAAAAAGACAACATTTTTTTCCCCTAAAAAATCTAAGTTCAAGGGAGGTAATACTGATATTTTTTGTGCTAGAGTTATAAGCCTTGTCACATATGATGTGGTTGATGACCAGAAACTTATATTTAAAGTTTGAAGTAAACACCTTAAGAAATAAAGAACATATAGTGAAAAAGCTGAAAAATTTAAATCAGAAATCTTGAAATTCAGGCTATTTGTTGCCATAGCAACCAGAATTTTCAACATAGGAAGAAAAGAAAAAGATGTGCATAATCTCCAGACTGCCATCTACCAATATTTCAAGTTTCATAAAAATATTTTCAGTACTTTTTGAGTTATCACTGGATCCAGTTTATGTGCTAAATTTGCCATATTTTCAGACTATTTGTTGCCATAGCAACCAGAATTTTCAACATAGGAAGAAAAAAAAAAAACGTGCATAATCTCCATACTGCCATCTATCCATATATCAAGTTTCATAAAAATATTTTCAGTACTTTTTGCGTTATCGCGGGATCCAGTTTTGTGGACGGACGGACTGACGGACTGACAGACTGACAGACAGACAGACAGACGGACAGACAGACGGACAGACAGACAGACGGACAGACGGACGGAGGGTAAACCTAAAGTCCCCTCCGGTTAAACCGGTAGGGGACTAATAAACAAATTGTGCCCAATATGTGTTTTCTTCAATCATTATTTACCTCTTTCAAATACATTAGATTTTCTCCAATTGCACTTAAAATTTACACATGAAAACACCAAATTGTCACTAAAGTGCACCAACTAAATAGAATTATATAATATGTTCCAGCAAATTTCTAGAGAAATAAATTGTATTGCCTCCAGTCTAAAATTAGGATAATGACATCAATTTAGGTCTATTCTTATACAATCTAATTATCTGAAATATACAGAATCAGTGTATGTCAACTCCATTTCTTTCTCTGATAAGTTTTAATAATCTTATATACATTTAAATTGATAGTAACCATATCGGATTCCTAATTTTGTTTGTGAATTTGGGACTTTTTAGATTGTCTGGCACTATAAAGGCATTTCAAACACAGTCTTGAAAATACTTAGATCACAAATGTGTTTATATGAGGCATTGCTGGCTCTAACACAACACCATAGGATTATGATAAAATGTGAATTATTTATAGATCAAGATGTCTACAAATCTAACATCTTTTTTTTTATTCTATCAGTAAAGAAATGAATGCCAGGTATTTTTCTGATAGTTTCTCCTCATTTAACCTTACTTACTGTTGGTGCGCATGGCATTTTTTCTTCTCAGCATGCATAATGCAGCGTACAAACAAATACAAGCATACCTTACATTTGGAGCTGATCCATGAATGAAAATACTTCCCAGAAAACCTCTCAACATGAAAAATGTATGTAAATAATGATATTTTTATGCTTGTCTTGTTACCATACAAACCCAACAATTGCTGACATGTTCTGTAAAACTAGCACTATCATTACCTACTTATTGATCTGGGAGGTACCAAGCACAAGCGGCTGGTTCCCCTCACTGACTGTCATTAACTTACCTCTTACTGTGGGAGGTACAAAACTCAAGCACTTGGTTCCCCTCTCTGACATTTTACAGATGTTACACTAAATTTTATTCTGTCATGGTTTTATGGAAACAAGGCCATGAGATACCTTTGTTCTTCGTGATAAAACAGTTTTTATTACAAACAAATCATCATTCAGTTAAAAGTGGGGGCTGGAAATCCAAAGTGAACTAATAATGGGAAGTTGATCTATTATCACTTCTCTAGTGGTGTGCTAAAATATATAGAACATTTCTTGTTCATAATGGTAATTATTACTATCTTAATTAAGTCTGATATTTACCCTAGCATTTGTTCTGTTTGAAAAGTTATGTTGGAAAAACAAAGACAGGCAGTCAAGCCATTACTACTTTCAATACTTGAAAACTACTTTTACACAACAACAGGCACTTTCAAAAATTTCCTTCTCCTATAAGTAATTACGTAGAAATCCTACTTATAACAACTCCGAAATAATAGAAGAGGGTAATTATTTCATAATATTTTCCAGGAAATTTATGGTTTTTACCTCAAAAGGATTTTAATTCTATCAGAAACTGAATATCTGCAAGGACATTATTTTCGTAATAAAATAATAAGTTCCTTGAAATACAAGAAGCTATTGTGTATTTATTATACAACATGTATATTCCACTCAAAAACCCAAGTACAGTTTGAAAGTTTACACAAAAAATGAAAATTTCAGAAACCAGAGTATCTTATCAGCGAGATAACTTATCATCAAAAGCAGGTGCTCTCTTAATGGGAAACATTTTAAAATTCAGTTTGTTCCAGCTGAGGTTTCTCTATTTTAAAATTTGAAATTATAAAATAATATCTGACAATTTTTCAAAGGGGTTTTATTTTATTTTTTTACCTTCCTCATCTAATTTCTTTATTAAAATGTAAAAAAGTTAATTTTAATTTAGAAAGGGCAATTTTTCCCTTTATTTTTTTAATTAAATGTTCTGTAATGGGGCAAAATTAAGCTATTATTTAATTACAACTAGAACTCCGCGAGTCGGATGTGTCGCCTTGTGAACAATGTAGTTTAGGGGAAATGGCCAGGACAAAAATGAAATATGAAAAATAACAAAGGGCAATAACTAAAAAAATAATATGTGCAGAGCAGCATTTCTGTACACTGCACTTCTTATCAATAAGATCTATCATTCTATGATGTTTCAAGTCCATAGCTTTCATACTTGAGGAGAAATGACCAGGACAAAAATAAAGTAAGAAAATCAACAAAGGGCAATTACTCAAAAATAAGAAATGCAGAGTATCAGTTCTTATGCACTGCACTTCTTTTTAATGAGATCTATCATCCTATGAAGTTTCAAGTCCATAGCTTTTATACTTAAGGAGAAATGGCCCGTACAAAATTAAAAAATGAAAATAAACAAAAGGGCAATAACTCAAAAAATAAGAAATGCAGAGTACCAGTTCTTGTGCACTGCACTTCTTCTTAATGAGACCTATCATCCTATGAAGTTTCAAGTCCATAACTTTTATACTTTCGGAGAAATGGCCAGGACAAAAATTAAGTATGAAAATTAACAAAGGGCCATAACTCAAAAATTAAGAAATGCAAAGTACCGATTCTTGTGCACTGCACTTCTTAATAATAATATCTATCATCCTATGAAGTTTCAAGTCCAAAGCTTTTATACTTAAGGAGAAATGGCCCGGACAAAATTAAAAAATGAAAATAAACAAAGGGCAATAACTCAAAAAATAAGAAATGCAGAGTACCAGTTCTTGTGCACTGCACTTCTTCTTAATGAGACCGATCATCCTATGAAGTTTCAAGTCCATGGCTTTTATACATTAGGAGAAATGGCCCGGACAAAAATAAAGTATGAAAATTAACAAAGGGCAATAACTCAAAAATTAGGAAGTGCAGAGTACTGGTTCTTGTGCACTGCATTTCTTCTTAATGAGATCTATCATCCTATGAAGTTTCAAGTCTATAGCTTTTTTAGTTGAAGAGAAATGGCCCGGACAAAATTAAAGTATGAAAATTAACAAAGGGCAATAACTCAAAAAATAAGAACTGCAGAGTACCGGTCCTTGTGCACTGCACTTCAGGTTATTGAAAGAAGCATGCATACCAAGTTTGAAGTCAATCAGACTTATAGTGACTGAGTTATGCTCCGGACAAGCTTTAGCGGACGCCGACGCCGACAACGACGCCGACACAGACGCCGCCGCCGCCGACACCGCCGACAAAAGTAACCCCTATATGTCACCTTTTCAAGGCGACACAAAAGTCTTTTCAAGGCGACACAAAAAGTGTCAGTCTTGTTTCATGCTGTCTCACTAATGACAAAACTTCATTTTTTTTAATTATCACACATGTAAGCCAATACAACTTGATCAAACAAATGACTACTAATTGTTAAGCAGAGCATGCACACATTTCCATGTGAGTTGATAATAGA